CCACAGGAGAATTTGAACAAGCTGATGACCAACCTGAGGAGCACTCACCCCCACTTTGTACGCTGCATCATCCCCAATGAAACCAAAACTCCTGGTAAGGCATTTCTGATATCCCAAGAAGAGTCTTGTGTGACTCCTCTTTTAGACTATTAAGTAGAAAACATACCTTTCCTTCAGGTGCCATGGAGCATGAACTTGTCCTGCACCAGCTGAGGTGTAATGGTGTGCTGGAAGGCATCCGCATCTGTAGGAAAGGATTCCCAAGCAGAATCCTTTATGCAGACTTCAAACAGAGGTTTGTATCTTGTTATTTTTCCCTTTCAACATCTCAGTCTGTTCAACATTGCTATGTAATTCAAGCATTTTTTTTTACCTTTTCCTTGAAAAACGAAATGAAATTAACTTGAAATGTGATAAGAGAAAGAAACCCTGTGATTGCATTAATGTACACAGATATGATTTAATAAAAAAAGAGAAAGAAGCCTAGCTTTATAAGTTTTTAATATTTTCCCAAGTTTTACAGAAAGCACTGTTTGATTTTTAAAGTTTTTTGTTCTCCAAAAATTAATCTATCATCCCTTCAATGACACCACCAGAGCTACGAAGTGTTTCATCATTTTTTTTTTTTTTTTTTAGTGAAGAAAAGCTACATTTTTACAGTCTTTTTATTCTGACAGATACAAAGTTCTAAATGCAAGTGCTATCCCAGATGGTCAGTTCATTGACAGCAAGAAGGCTTCTGAGAAACTTCTAGGGTCTATTGACATTGACCACTCCCAGTATAAATTTGGTCACACTAAGGTATCACCAGTTCCAATTTTTATCTATCATAATTTAATCACTTTTGGACTTTCTCATCAATGGAAATAACACTTAACTTGATCTTTGTCAAGGTTTTCTTTAAAGCTGGCCTGCTGGGAGCTCTAGAGGAAATGCGAGATGAAAAGCTGGCTCAACTCATCACACGCACTCAGGCCATCTGTAGAGGGTACCTGATGAGAGTGGAGTTCAGGAAGATGATGGAGAGGAGGTGAGGGACCAAGCACAAGTCTTCCTTCCCTCTGCAACTTTCATCACTGAATTCCACGCAGTCATTACTTTTGTTAAGTCATGGTCAATTTCCACGTTCTTCTCCACTTGCATCTTTTTTTCTTTTCCTACAGAGAGTCCATCTTCTGCATCCAGTACAACATCCGCGCCTTCATGAATGTGAAGCACTGGCCCTGGATGAAGCTGTATTTCAAGATCAAGCCCCTCCTTAAGAGTGCAGAGACAGAGAAGGAGATGGCCACCATGAAGGAAGATTTTGAGAAGGCCAAAGAAGAACTGGCTAAGTCAGAGGCAAAAAGGAAAGAACTGGAAGAAAAGATGGTAGCTCTGATGCAAGAGAAAAATGACCTGCAGCTCCAGGTTCAAGCTGTGAGTATTACATATTGCACAGTTCAACCATATCTTCTTATCCATTCACTGACTAAATAGGAGAATTTTTTCCTAGGTTTAAAATTAAACCATTTCCACTAAAACATTGCTTGCTATTGTTTACCTTTCAAAATTACTGACTCATACATAAAGAAGCCATAGATGCAGAGTCACAGGTCATGCTGTGTGTGCATTCATACATAGCTGGTCATCAGTGAGAAAAGTCATAAAAATAGCACTACTCATTCTTTCTTTGTGGAATTTTCTCTTAGCTTAGATTATTCTTTCTCTAGCAAACATTTTTGTGCATAAAATAGAAGTTAGGTTGTTTTCACCAGGGCAGTAAAAGGACTAAATTAATTTCCCCTTTAACATGAGAAAACTGAATCCTAGAATGAGCAAATGATTTTACAAAGTTCCAAAGCTAGCAAATTGCAGATCTTTGCTAACAATCTACTTTTCCTGAGATGACCTTCCACAAGTGAATTTGGAGAAAATATGTTACCATATTCAACCAGGAGACTGAAATTATGTCTTTGTTTGATTTTGAAACTTGGCAAGTTAACTGGCTAGGTGTTGGTGAAACTGGTAGGGTCCTAGAAGTTTCTACCTTTCAATAAATTGTTATGTTTCCAGATATAGTGAAAATGCTTAATTTCTCCCTTTAGGAAGCAGATAGTTTGGCTGATGCAGAGGAAAGGTGTGATCAGCTGATCAAAACCAAAATACAACTTGAGGCCAAAATCAAGGAGGCCATAGAGAGGGCTGAGGATGAAGAAGAGATCAATGCTGAGCTGACGGCCAAGAAGAGGAAACTGGAGGATGAATGTTCAGAACTCAAGAAAGACATTGATGACCTTGAGCTGACACTGGCCAAGGTTGAGAAGGAGAAACATGCCACAGAGAACAAGGTACAAATTATGACCCATTTTAGACTGCTTACAATTACTAACTTGTTATTGGAATATTTTATTTTTTTTATTTTAGAGACAGAGTCTCTACTTTGTCACTCTTGGTAGAGTTCCATGACATCACAGCTCACAGCAACCTCCAGCTCTTGGGCTTAGGCCTCCCAAGTACCTGGGACTACAGGCGCCTGCCACAATAGCCTGGCTATTTTTTTGTTGTTGTACTTTGGCTGGGGCCAGGTTCAAACTTGCCACCATCTGTATGGGCCAGTGCCCTACCCACTGAGCTACAGGTGCTGCCCTGGAATATTTTAATTGGAAACTTAAAATTACTGAATGTGAAATAAAAACACTGTTATAATTATGCCATCTCTTTAGTCTTTACCTCCTCTGTCTATTTACCTTGACCTTTACCTTGTATTTTTTTTTTAGCCTCATAGGTCTGGGTTAGCTTCTGGTTTCCATTTTCCATCTCACAGTAACATTGTCCTGAGATATTACTATACTGTGTTTTTCATTGAGATGACAAGTTGTAATTAACATTCTGGTCATCTATTCAAATCTAAAGGTAAAAAACCTCACAGAGGAGATGGCAGGCCTGGATGAAAACATAGCAAAGTTGACCAAGGAGAAAAAGGCCCTCCAAGAGGCCCACCAGCAGACCCTGGATGACCTGCAGGCAGAAGAGGACAAAGTCAACACCCTGACCAAAGCTAAAACCAAGCTAGAGCAGCAAGTGGATGATGTAAGTGTGAGAAATAAAACATTTCCCTTTAAGATAAAGTTAATAATTGTGACACAAAACCATCACTGGTGACCATAAGCCTTTAACTCCTGGTTTGAAAATAATCAAATTCTTATGCTATTTGAGGTACATTTTTAAGTTTTTTCTTGTGTATTTTTGAAAGTTATAAAAGGGCTCAGTGCTTAAGAACTGAAATAAATAAAATTCATTATAAATTTAGCTTGAAGGATCTCTGGAACAAGAAAAGAAACTCCGCATGGACTTAGAAAGAGCCAAGAGAAAACTGGAGGGTGACCTCAAATTGGCCCAAGAATCCACAATGGATATAGAAAATGACAAACAGCAACTTGATGAGAAACTCAAAAAGTAAGTGTTGCATAATTCAGCTATTACCTGCTTATATGTCAATGCAGATGAAATACATGTTAAAAAGATTGCGAAAATATTATTTCACGACACACAGGAAACAATGAATAATGACATCTTTGCCTTTTTTATTTAAAAAATGGTAAGTTATTGATTTATAAAACATGTACTACTTTTGTCCTCAAAACTAACAGTATAAAGAAATTGAATTACACAGAAAAGACCGGTAAGAAAACTGACTATAAGCTAATGTGTTATTCTAATAGGAAGGAATTTGAAATGAGCAATCTGCAAAGCAAGATTGAGGATGAACAGGCCCTTGGGATGCAGCTGCAGAAGAAGATCAAGGAGCTACAAGTAAGCACATGATTCCATCAGCCTAATTCAATAGAAAAAGATTGCTGACATGAGGGAGGTGAGTTTCTATTTTTCATCATTTCCAGGCCCGCACTGAGGAGCTGGAGGAGGAAATCGAGGCAGAGCGGGCCTCACGGGCCAAGGCAGAGAAGCAGCGCTCTGACCTCTCCCGGGAACTGGAGGAGATCAGTGAGAGGCTGGAAGAAGCTGGCGGGGCCACTTCAGCCCACATTGAGATGAACAAGAAGCGGGAATCTGAGTTTCAGAAAATGCGCAGGGACCTGGAGGAGGCCACCCTGCAGCATGAAGCCACAGCAGCTGCGCTTCGGAAGAAACACGCAGACAGTGTGGCTGAGCTCGGGGAGCAGATTGACAACCTGCAGCGGGTCAAACAGAAGCTGGAGAAGGAGAAGAGCGAGATGAAGATGGAGATCGATGACCTTGCTAGTAACATGGACACTGTTTCTAAAGCCAAGGTATTTATTAACTTTTCCCCTTTTCATCTTTATTTGCAACAATTCAAAATAACCAAATGTATCTAAGACTATATCTATCCCAACTGCACACACATTAGATGTTATCTGAAGTTTAAAAATTATTCCTAAAAGGCATTATTGTATTGAATTGAATCGCTTAAGTTCTCATTATCTCATTTGTAGAAAACACAAATCAAGCTGTTGCTATTATCAGGAAAGAATGCAAATTATAAGAAAAACTTATCTAAAATCCAAACTCTACGTGATGCAGGATTTAGATGATGGTTATACTTTGCAAAAGAAAATAATATAATCATTAATTTAACCAGAATCATATGCTTCTACTACTTTATAGGCACCATGGAGAATTTTCACAGAAAAGCAAATAAAATTCAGCCTCTTTCTCCACAAACAGTTACAGATCTTAAATTCCAGCATTACAAACAGAAATGCATTCTCTCTTCCTGTTTCCTATTTCCCATCCCAGGGAAATTTCGAGAAAATGTGCCGCACCCTAGAGGACCAACTTAGTGAAATAAAAACAAAGGCAGAGGAGCAACAACGATTAATAAATGAGTTGTCAGCCCAGAAGGCACGTTTGCATACAGAGTCAGGTCAGTAAATGAGTATCACAGGCCTTTGGAGAGATGAGGAATGAATGGTGAGCTCTGCCCATCAAACACAAATCATTTCTCTGACTGTGCACATCCATTTATTATACTTTAGTTACTGCTTCATCTTTTTATTATGAGATAGTAAAAAGCAACTTACAACCTTACAATGGTTGTAAGCTATAAGTGTGGGAAAAAATTAAGTTTTCTGGGCTCTGGAGATTTTTGTTGCCTCAGCATTACTCAAAGTTTCAAATCCTAAAAAATAAAAAAGTTCATTCATTTTTTTTAAAAAGAAAGAAATAACTTTCTCCACAGCACTAAAGATCTCAAGTTATTCTTTTCATCATATGAAATAAGAAGGTTATAATATTGTTCCATTCTTTAAATCATTCTTTACCTGAATAAGAGAACTAAATCACTGATGGTTTTTCTTCCACAGGTGAGTTTTCACGACAGTTAGATGAGAAAGATGCTATGGTTTCTCAGCTATCCAGAGGCAAACAAGCATTTACACAACAAATCGAGGAATTAAAGAGGCAGCTAGAAGAGGAGACAAAGGTGAGAATCCTCCAGTGGACATTTTAAACTGTGAAACATGAAGCACTACTGAACTTCACCTAGAGAATATTAATGATCAGAAGGTAAACTTGTATTACCTGCTTTTTGGTTGGTCTAGGCCAAGAATGCTCTGGCTCACGCTGTGCAGTCCACCCGCCACGACTGTGACCTGCTGCGGGAACAGTATGAGGAGGAGCAGGAAGCCAAGGCTGAGCTGCAGAGGGCAATGTCCAAGGCCAACAGCGAGGTTGCCCAGTGGAGGACCAAATACGAGACGGATGCCATCCATCGCACAGAGGAGCTGGAGGAGGCCAAGTATGGGTTTTTAATGAGGGGGACGAGAAGAAATAAAAGTAAAAGTAAAAATAGTGAAGGAAAAATAGAACAAAGAAAATATTCCAGGCATAGGAAAAAATGAAGGATATCAGCCTATTTCATTATACAGTAGGATATTCCACCATATTCTTACGACCAGAGCTCCCCTCTCATTCTGGCACAAAAGCATCTTAAATTTCTTTCTATCAAAATGGATTATCAATTATCACCATGTACTTCATGAATTAATTTCCTTTAATAAGAGGAAAAATAAAGACATTGAGACTATACAGTACATTATTATAAATATTATAATTAATAGTAATCAGTTTTTACTTACCTGGAGTATTGAATATTTAGAATAAAGCTAGCATACCCTGTCATCACTTCAACTACCAGTATCAATGTATTTGTTCTAATTATACATACTGTTTGTGGATTAAACTTCATGGGAGTTATGTATGAAAAAAACCCTATGTTTCTCATGAAGGAAACCTTCCTAAATTTTATTTATCTCAGAATTAAGCAGAATGAGAGGGTTTAGCAAACATTTGCAAAAAGAACATTCTAGGTAAGAGTGTGGGCTGGGAGAGTTTATGAATTATATAGGTTAGTAAAGGGATTAGTAAATAAGACTTTGAAAGGTGTTTAGGAAATGCAATAATGGAAAAAATATTTATTGTCTAGCGTCACCAAATCCAGAAAGTAACCAATATGACCCTGAACATGTCACACTGGGCCAGTTTCCTCATTTGTAAAGTAACAAGGATCCTACTAGAAAAGGAGACTATAAACTAGATGCCTCCTATTCACTGTTGCTATTTCTTCCTCACCTGCACGTTTTTACATTGATCATGTAGCTCAAGGACTTACATTCTCTCTCTCTCCTCCCTCCACACTGACAGACACAAAGTGGCTTCATAGATATATATGTGTGCACATGCACATACACACACACACACACATTATGTTTATGTGACCTGAGATAAACTCACTGGGGAAAAAAAAGAATTCTACAAGAGCTAAAAAGAGTACTGAGAAAGTATTTTGGAAAAAATTAACAACTTGTGGACACAGGAACACAAAATCTTGGGGGAAATACGCTTTCCTAGTCAGCAGCTTTATAAAGTTCACTGTGGTGACTCTGAATCTGCTCTTGGTCACTCATACTGACTTACTTTTCAGGAGGAAGCTGGCCCAGCGTCTGCAGGATGCTGAGGAACATGTAGAAGCCGTGAATTCCAAATGTGCTTCTCTTGAAAAGACAAAGCAGAGGCTACAGAATGAAGTGGAAGACCTCATAATAGATGTGGAAAGATCTAATGCTGCCTGTGTAGTTCTTGATAAGAAGCAAAGGAACTTTGACAAGGTGATCCACAATCCTGGCCCCCTAGGGGGAAACTGGCACTATACTTGGTTTCAGAGGCTTACTGTCCATGTACTTTCAGGTTCTGGCAGAATGGAAACATAAGTATGAAGAAACTCGGGCTGAACTGGAGGCCTCTCAGAAGGAGGCCCGTTCTCTTAGCACTGAGCTGTTCAAAGTGAAGAATGCCTATGAGGAAGCCCTGGATCAACTTGAAACTCTGAAGCGAGAGAATAAGAATTTGCAGCGTAAGTCACTGCAGTCTTTCTAGTTCAAAAATGACAGGGATATATCTTTTCAATTTTTCATTCTCCTCAACTGAATTTTGGTATCTTATTATTAAACTACAGAGGAGATTTCTGACCTGACTGAGCAAATTGCAGAGGGTGGAAAGCATATCCACGAATTGGAGAAAGTAAAGAAACAAATTGATCAAGAGAAGAGTGAACTACAGGCATCCCTAGAGGAAGCAGAGGTACGTTTCATTTGCTCAGTTCTATATTATAAATAAATTGAAAAATTAATGCAACTGAGATTTATCATGTTGCAAACATTTTAGGGGATAACATATGTAATTCACTGAAAAACATCAAATGGTACTTGAGAGTGCAGAGTTAATAGGATACATCAACATGTATGAAAGTTTGTGTTTTTTTAATGCCTTCTTGGAGAAATCATCATAATACAAAAGTGGGGGGAAAGCTCTTTAGGTGATCTCAATAAATGTTGCTTTCATCCAGGCATCTCTTGAGCATGAGGAAGGCAAAATTCTTCGCATCCAAGTTGAGTTAAATCAGGTAAAATCTGAGATTGACCGAAAAATTGCTGAAAAAGATGAGGAAATTGATCAACTAAAGAGGAATCATCTGAGAACTGTAGAGTCGATGCAGAGCACCCTGGATGCTGAGATCAGGAGCAGGAATGATGCTCTGAGGATCAAGAAGAAGATGGAGGGAGATCTTAATGAAATGGAAATCCAGCTGAACCATGCCAACCGCCAGGCTTCTGAGGCAATAAGGCACCTTAGAAACACACAAGGAGTACTGAAGGTACACACATGCTGTCAGATAGTCTGGGTTGTGTGACTTACATTTTAATATTTTATGAGGATCATAGGTCATAAATCATCTAAGTAATATGGCAAACAGTTAGAAAATGTATGCACACTGCTGAAAAAGAGCCTAGTTCTAAAAGGCCCAGGTAGACGCTTTGTCACCTGCAGAAAAGACACGTGGTGATGTGTGGGGAGACAGAGGAAGTTATGAGAGAGTTTGGTTACATGCCACTGCTCAAACCGCTTCATTTATCTGGACTTTATTTGTTGATATATAAAAGAACACTACTAGACTATTTGGTCTTTAAGGATGCTTTCCTGATCCAAAATTTTGTAGATTTAGCCATGGTAATTTTTTTTAATGATCTAAGCTCAAGAAGAATATAACATCCTGTTCTTTTGAGTAGAACTGCTACCTAAACTACAAAGAATTTGTTATTAATGGTACTTGCAGATTGATCTTAATAAGTTAAAGTATGACTAAATAGGAACAAAGTGTGTACAAGTGTACTATATTTGTATTTGCTTTAATTAGAGCATGAGTAAGACTCTTTTTCTCTTTCTGTGTAGGACACTCAGGTACATTTGGATGATGCCATCAGAAGCCAAGATGACCTTAAAGAACAACTGGCAATGGTTGAGCGCAGAGCTAATCTGATGCAGGCTGAGGTAGAAGAGCTCAGAGCATCCCTGGAACAGACTGAGAGAAGCAGGAAAATGGCAGAGCAAGAGCTTCTGGATGCAAGTGAGCGTGTGCAACTTCTGCACACTCAGGTAAGGTTCAGGATTGGAAGATAAGCTTATTCATAAGGTAAGGAGTAATCTTGGCATGGGTCCCTTGCTACAGTTCTGGAACATATATGTAGGGTGATATAAGTACATACTGGGACCTAGCTGGTTCACAAGTATATTGATGAGCTGGAATAATTATATGGACTTGAAATAACCTCAAGTTCTAGAAATTGTAATAAAGAACCAGAGAATTTTGCCTGCCAATAACTATAATAACCTCAAGTTCTAGAAATTGTAATAAAGAACCAGAGAATTTTGCCTGCCAATAACTATATACACAACATTGGTAGCCATCTTGTCATTTGTAACTCTAAAGTGCACATAGATAAGAAAATAGAATAGAGGAGAAAAAAGATAAGCCACTAGGTAATATTTGTGTATCATATATACACATAGGCTAACTTTATTTCAAACTAATGTGGACCATCCATACAGCTAGTTAGTATTTGTTGTATACAGTGAATTTGTTAAATAATGGTGGTATATCCTCATAATGGCTAATATGCAGCCATTGTAATATGCGTCACTGCCATGGAAAGATGTTCACATGATAAATGAAAAAAGCAAATTAAAAATAATAAAGGATATATGACTATTTTTTTCTGTGTAAAAATAGAAAGGAAACATCCAAAAGGATAAATAAAAGTTTATCCTTTTATTTTATCTCTGTTCAGAGAGAGTATGATAATCACTTTTTTCTCTTTTTTGGGCTAATTTGAATGTTGTACTATTTCACAATAAACATATATTATTGTATACTTTTGAAAGTTGTAATATATAAAAATAGCCAGTATAGAAGTGTTAAAATCACATGCTACATATAATTTTAAATTAAATAAATATGCAACATTTTTCTTACTCATCATGAACATCCAGGCTTGACTGGATATTTCAAATAACTTCAACCTTCCAAAAACACATGGGATTCTTGGTTCATTTTTGTACCAATAATGATGCTACTTACACACTTATAATATGGAACCAACAAATATGAATGAACAGCTAAAAATCAATAATCCAATTTAAATGAGCTACACAGTACTACATGGCATATATGACTTTGGTTTGGGTGTTGTGTTTTATGCTCACAAACACCACTGAAAATAGTCAAATATGTTCAGTATCATAAATTAAATCTTACCTGGAATATTTTAGAAGTTTTATTTACAGAGATGGGGTAGACAGGAGAAAAAGCATAACTTAGAATTAACTTCTGATTGGATTTTTATTCTAAACATTTTGTATGATCAGTAACTTAGGCCTGTATATACTACTAGTTAAAATGACAATGTGGTTATAATTAAATGTGTACTTTTCTTCGTTTTTATTAATTTGAAACAGAACACCAGCCTTATCAACACCAAGAAGAAGCTGGAGACAGACATTTCCCATATCCAGGGAGAGATGGAGGACATTGTCCAAGAAGCCCGTAATGCAGAAGAGAAGGCCAAGAAGGCCATCACTGATGTGAGTGACAGGCACTTTCTCTATTAATTTGTCAGTGAGATTTCCTGACATCTCTAGCTTTTTTGACTTTCTTGATTTATTTGCTATACAGGCTGCCATGATGGCTGAGGAGCTGAAGAAGGAACAGGACACCAGCGCCCACCTGGAGCGGATGAAGAAGAATATGGAGCAGACGGTGAAGGACCTGCAGCACCGTCTGGACGAGGCTGAGCAGCTGGCGCTGAAGGGCGGGAAGAAGCACATCCAGAAACTGGAGGCCAAGGCGGGTCTCTATAACTTCAATTCCTAACCTGTTCATGCAGCTAGTTATAGCCAAACTGTTAAACACTTTTGTTCTCTTGTAGGTGAGGGAGCTTGAAAGTGAGGTGGAAAGTGAACAGAAGCGCAATATTGAGGCTGTCAAGAGTCTTCGCAAACACGAGAGAAGAGTGAAGGAACTCACTTACCAGGTGACCAGAGTTTTTGTATTTTCTAGGCCTACAACATTCAAGAAAATAAAATGGGTTATTTTCAAATAATGGCACTATTTGCTACCTCTTTCAGACTGAGGAGGACCGCAAGAATGTTCTCAGGCTGCAGGATTTGGTGGACAAATTACAAACCAAAGTTAAATCTTACAAGAGACAAGCTGAAGAGGCTGTGAGTATCTCCACAGTGAAAAGATGCAGGTTTTAAGGGGTCTGAAGCTCATGGAATTTAAAGGGTTTTATTTAAGGCAAAGAATACAAAATTGGGAATACAGAAAGAGGTATGAAAATGAATATTTAAAATGAGAAAAAGAACTACAAATTACTAGAGCCTTAGAGATTTGAGTTTATTTCTCCTGAGATCTCTTTAAGCAATTTTCCAGACATGGTAACACAGAAATGATTTTTTGTTTCAACCCCCTCCCTCCGTTACACAGAATACCCTATAACTCCCACCATTCATAGGGTCTGTGCAAATGAGGGCCTGATACTAAGCCTTATTTAACTTGATGATAAATCCATTTGGGCACGTTTTCAATTTGGCAACAGTTATTTTTTCGCATCCTGTTACTTCTGAAACCTTCCTTAAGATTCTCTATCCCGAATACCACCACTGTAGCTATTTTTTAAAGTTTATTTTAAGACACGCGATCACATCAGATTCCCTCCCTGCTACGTTGGTCTCTCTGCTGTCACTGTAGCATCTTCAGTTTGTCAGGAAGCGAGTGGTCAAGTGGTGGTAAGCACACTCATTCACATAGGCAAGTTTGTAGGCTGTCCTGCCCATCAAGTAATTGTGTCACCAAACAACAGAACGTTTTGCTTTCCAATTGATGAAGCAAATTCTGTAGCTGCGTATAGGCAGAAAGGCATTAACAATCAGAAAATGTCAAACTTTCTTGTTCTCTCATATGCATTTCTGTTCTTAGGAGGAACTATCTAACGTCAACCTTGCCAAGTTCCGCAAGATTCAGCATGAGCTGGAGCAGGCAGAGGAACGGGCTGACATTGCTGAGTCCCAGGTCAACAAACTGCGAGTGAAGAGCCGGGAGGTTCACACAAAAATCATTAGTGAAGAGTGATTCACTCTAATGACAGAAAATGTGACTGAAGAAATACACAAAATGTGAAGTTCTTTGTCACCGTCCTGTCTCTTAAGGAAATAAAGCCTGCAGAGAATTTTGCAGTCTAAAAATACACTTGTTTCTTAATTATAATATCTATGATGCTGTTAGAACGAATTCCTTTATTCAACATATGTTGAGCTTCTACCATGTACAGTTAGAGATAATGACAAAAATTAGTGTAGTCAGTGACCCAAGTTTAATAGGAGGTGAATGAAACAAAGAGCTTTAAGGAGATGCAAAGGGAATAAATACACTTTCAGTACCATTCAACCAATTTTACTGAGTACTAAGTACATGTCTGGTGCAGAAATGGGCACCAGTGATATGACAGTCATCCCTGTCTCTGAGGAGCTCAGTCTAGTGGGGGAGAGAGCAATCCAAACAGACTTGGAGCAAAGTACATACTCTTGACAAAAGAATGAAATAAAAGTATAGCAATAACATAGAGTGAACTGCTAACCCAGGGTGTCCAAAAAAGCTTCTCAAAGACTGAGCCAGTTCCTAAAAGATGAGTAGACAGTTATTAGGTAAAAAAGAAAAGGATATGGCCATCCTAAGAAGAGAAAAGAAGCATGAGATTTCAGAGAAGTTTAAGCATGGGCTTCATAAGCAAAGAGTAGCAGCTGCAGCCAGAAGTGGAAAGTAAGGCCTGACTGTGAAGGGTATGGCCTCACATGCAGTGCTGATGAATTAGGACATACATCATACTGGTCAAATTTCTTGAGGAGAGTTGATAACAATTCTGGAAGCAGTGTGGAGAAGTAAGATGGGAAAGGCCACTGCCTGCAAAGGCTGTTTAGAAGGCTGTTTTAAAATGGATTAAATTAGAGATGATGCAGTTGGACATGAACAAAATGCAGAATAAAAATAGGATTCTAGTACCAGTTTATAAAGAAAGGGCTGGGAAAACACTGACGACATTAAACTGCTCACAGCATTCAAACTTCCCAGTTACTTTGTGATTATAGATTTCATTTTCTTCTGGAAGAAATTCTGTTCCTCTGAACCTCCTCCCTCTTCAAGAAAAATGGTCATAACTTTTTAGATAAATTTTCCTGTTGGCCTTCTAATTTCTACATAGAGTTCTGCTTACCATGGAAATCCTTGTGAAATCTTCCATGATGTGGGAATCCTAATTAGCAATGAAAAACCTACCTCATAAAAGGGGTAGAAAATAATTATGAAGAATACTTCACCTTAGCCATGATGAAGACTAGTAAAATATCCAGCCTAGAGTAGATCTTTATTATTACACTTTAATTAAGTTCTGTAGAGCTTAACTGCTTTATTATTCCATCTCCCAATAGAGAGTTGAGAATGGATTCCATTACACATGGGTCAACTATTCTGGATTCCTAGATTAAAGTAGTAAGTGCAGAGTCACAGTAGTTCTGATTAATATTCTCCTTCATCCTCCTCACAGATTAGGTGATTTATAGACTTATTTCCTTCTCTACTACAACAAAGTCACACATGATAATTGTGGATTACTTACCACACTTTTTGCCTTTTCTGTAATTGACATGAGGCATTACTGAGATGAGGGAACTGTTTCTAACAGTTCTATTGATGCTGAACATGAAAACTCAAACAATGCATGCAAGGGGAAGATAGTAGGCTGTCTCTAAGAATGAACACATTTGAATTAGGAGCAATGGAGGTGGCTACCTGATTCAAGCATCAAGATTTATTGTCACAGAAAGAGACTGAGAGTTAAGGAAGATTGTGAAATGTTATAAAAAGCAAGGGACTTTTTCTCTAACTTGTAGATAAAACATTTAAAATGTACACATAGGAAATTAAGCAGAGATGACCATGCTCTAGTGTTTTAGGCAACCAGTCAGGCATTATGACACTGATAAACCTCCTAAAAATCTATAATAAGGCCAGTATATATTCTTCTCTACATTCTGAGACTGTAAAGACCATGGCTACTGGAAGCAAATTCTGGGACCACTGACATACTAATACTGGAAATATCGTAAGTCTTTTTCTCTCTACTCCATTCATAAGTGTTCAAATAACCAAACAGAAAGCAAGAACAGAAAAAATCTCAAGATCCCTCCACTTCAAAACATCTCTTTCTCAATAATTGGTAGAGCTAAGAAAACATCAGTAAGGAATATTCCACTTTTACATAGATGGAGTAGGTGTACTTTTCCTTATTCCTCTCACTAAGTACAACAAAAAAAACCCCACTGGACATTATATATAAAATGAATATAAGAGGCACTGAAAGATGGAGAGGGGAAGATGGAAAATCTAGAGACCTTAGGACCCAAGGAATGACATGGTGGTAAGTTCCTCGGGTTTTCTTTTTGCCTTATATATCCCAGACTTAGAGCTGAAGAAGCAGGCAACACAGAAATACAAATGGGTGCAAATTTTAAATGCCCTAATGAAAGCCTTTCTCTTTAGTCAGAGTACAAGAAATTGGCATCCTAGTAAGACAGAAAATGTCCCCACATCACAAAGTCCCAAAGTTACAGATGCTGGTATGGGTGCAGAGAAAAGGGAACACTTATATACTATTGGTGAGATTGCAAACTAAATAGCCGTTTTGGAAAGAACTATGGAAAATCCTCCAAGAACTAAAAGTAGACCTTCCATTTGATCCCACAACCCTGTTAATAGGTATCTTCCCAGAAGAAAAAAATTATTTTACCATAAGGAAATTTGCACTAGAATATTTGTCGTAGCTCAATTCACAATCGCCAAGATGCAGAAATAATCCAAGAGCCCATGAATGAATATACTATGGTATATGTATACCATGGAATACTCTTCAGCAATAAAAAGATGGAGACTTTACATCTTTTGTATTTACCTGGGAGGATTTGGAGAACATACTTCATCCAATGTATTCAATACTAATATGAAACCAGTAGATGAACAATTAAATGCCCACATGATAGAAAAACATTAAATTCAAGGAAAGGGGGAGAAGGAAGGGAGTTTAGGAAGCTCTTCCCTAACAGGCACGATGTAGGGGTGTATGGTACACCCCCTGGGTGAAGGGCTCAACGACAACTTGGACTCTACCTGACAAATGCAAACAGTGTAACCTAATCGTATATACCCTATATTAATCTACACTTTTTTAAAAAGAAAATGTTTATATGATAACTGCTCTAGTCAAACCAAACAACACAGTAAAAATTTGTGACCACACCCCACTCACAACAAAAGTCAAACGTAGAGCTTATATTTCTACCTTTACAAGGCTGGAAAAGGGTGCCCCAATACCATAAATGCAGTAGTGTCAGGGGGTGCCATATAGGAAGAGAGAAATTTCATCCCTGCTGGCCGGTAACGAACCCTCTACCACTGAAATCAGCAGTGTTAACACTGAGATCCTTGACTCCCACCCACTTAGGAATAACAGGCACCTCTTGTCCTTTTCACTATCAGAGAAGGTCTAGAGAAAGACGGCACTTTATCATAGCCCAGTGGTAAGGCACCTAACCTCATTCAGAAATAATGAGAAGATGCCCCTCAGGAATCAACAGAAGGGAACCTCCACTTTCACCTCCACCTGAAAGTAATAAGGTGGCACCACTAGCCCCCACTTCCCTTGCCACAGGAGTATCACAGAAAGCCAGGTAAAAGGTTTAAATAAGGTCCAGAGCCCAAAAACATAATACAAGAAATGTCCACAGTTTCAAAATAAAATCACTTATTACACCAACTTTTAAAAAGATAAATGAATCTATAAAGCCAAAAGGAAGATGATAGACATGTTAAATTATCTGACAAAGATTTTGTAAATAGACATAATAAAAATGCTTCAAAGAGCAACTATGAACATACTTGAAACAAATGGAAAAAATAGAAAGTCTCAGGCAAGAAACAGAAGATATAAAAATGAACAAATAAAAATTTTAGAATTTAAACCAAAAATATGGAGAGGAAAGAGGAATCAGTAAACTGGAATATATAATAATGGAAATAAAACAATCTAAACAACTGAAAGAAAACAGTTGAAGAAAATGAACACAGAGTCTCATAAACAAATGATCTAATATACATGTTATCCAGAGTGCTGAAAGAGGAAGAAGAGAGTATGCGGAAAAAGTACTGAAACTTAAAACATTTATCAAGAGACATTATTCTACAGATTCAAAAAGGAGTTTATCTACACAAGATAAACTAAAAGAAATTCACACCAAGATATAACATACATTTCTGAATATAGAAGGCAAAGAAAAATTTTGGAAGCATCCAGAGAAAAATGACATCTTACCTATAAAAAACAATTCAGATGACAATGGATTTCTCATAAGAAAACATGGAGGCAGAAAGAAGTGATGTGATATTTTTCAGTTGAAAGAAAACAACTGTCAACCCAGAATCGTAACAAAAATAAGCTTAATGAATAACAGGGAAATCAAGATATTTTTAGATTAAGGAAAACTAAGAATTTGTCATCAGCCCACCTGCCCTAATAGAATAGCTAAAGGAAATCTCTAAACAGAAAGGAAAAAAATGAGTGAAAAATCCTTAGAACATCAAAAAGGAAGAAAAAGCACAATAAGCAAAAATAAGAGTAGATACAAAAGATTTTTGCTTCTTGGGTTTTCTAAATCATGTTTGATGATGGAAATAAAAATATCACTGTCTAGGGTGGCGCCTTTGGCTCAGGAATAGGACACTGGCCTCATACACCGGAGATGCAGGGTTCAAACCTAGCCCTGGCCCAAAACTGCAATAAATAAATAAATAAATACATAAAAATATCACTGTCTAGTGTGGTTCTAAAGGTACAGAGAGGAAATATTTAAGACAATTATAATTGGTAAGGTTAAAGGACTTAAAGGAAGGTTTTTATGCTTCACATGAACTAGTAACATGACAACAGATGACAGTGATGAGACACAGATAAAGTATCTACAGCAACAACTAAAAATGACATACAAAGAAATAAACACACACACACACACACACACACACACACA